CCAGTTGCCCCAGGATTCCCTCTGCCTCCTGCATGTTGCGTACGATATGCCTGGCGTCATCCTTGGTAACCTGCAGAGTATGCGCTGGGCCCCAGCGGTACTTGATTTTCTGCATGCGCAGGAGGGAGGTGAACTGTTGCAGGTTTCTCCTCCATGCCATAGTCGCCCCCGAGATGTCTGAGTAGAATGTGAGGCTCATCTGTTCCAAGAGGTATGTCGGGTGTTCCCTGACGGCCGCCAGGACTGCCAATTTGTCTGTTAGGGTCTGGAACCGTGCGATGACGTCTCGTGTGGTCGTGCTTGGGGCTTTTGTGGGCTTAGGAAGGCGGAATATGCCATCGAGAGCTACTGCTTTGGCTGGTTTCGGGTTGAGCAACACTGTTAGGAGCCTCCTGATGAGGTGAGGTAGCTCGGCGTCCGGAATACTGTCCTCTATACCCCTGATCTTCAGGTGTTTTAAGCGGTGCTTATCCTCCAATGTTGCAAATCTCAGCTCATTCAGTTGATGTTGCCTCCTAAGTTCTCGGACCTCGTGTTGCAGCTCTGATATTTGGCCTTTTTGGGTGTCTGTGGTTCCCTCCACAGCTCCCAGCCGGCCGCTCAAGCCCTGCAAGGTCTCTCGGATTGATGCCACATCTGCCGCTATTTCACTGTGGTGATCCGACATCAGCTCTCTTATGGCCTCCATGCTGACAGGTGTGGAGGGTGTAGCAGGTGGTTTTGGCTGCATTCGAGCCGGTGGTGGTTGCTGCTGGGTCAGGGTGGTATCCCCTTCCTTGTCATCCGACGTCCCATCATAAAAATCAGAACATCCACCATGGAGGGACGCCATCTTGGAATTCAAGGCTTCTGCGGCCTGCTTCCATAGCTCGCCAATGTGCATTCCCGACCGTTGTGTTTCAGGTTTCAGTTTTTTGGTTTTCCGCCCCATGATGTGCTGGTAGGTGTTGGGGTGTTCTCTGGGCAGGTTTGGTCGGAGGTTGGGGGTTGAAAATCGATGTTTAGGGTTGTATTGGTGCGGAGCTCGGCGGCCATGCGACTTCTCGCTTCAGTAGTTAGGACACGCCCCCCTAGCCTGCCAGCTTTTACCATACAAGCTGGTGGAGTCTGAGGCGTTCCAAAAATTTTTAGCTATTGGGACACCGCAGTGGAAGGTATCCGGACGAAATTTCTTTTCACAAAAGGCAATCCCCAACCTGTACTCGATTGTGCAAAAGGAAGTAATGGCATGTCTGGCACAGTGTTGGGGCAAGGGTCCATCTGACCACTGATACCTGGTCTGCAAAGCATGGTCAGGGCAGGTATATCACCTACACTGCGCATTGGGTAAACCTGCTGACGGCTGCCAAGCATGGAATGCGTGGCTCTGCAGAGGAGTTGGTGACACAGCCACGACTTGCAGGCAGGCGTGCTGCCACCTCCTCTACTCCTCTACTCCTCCTACTCCATCCTCTTCCATAACCTCCTCGGCTGAGTCCTCTTCTGCTGCTGCGTCTTGCTCCACATCAACGGCACCCCCCCAGCTCCCCTGGTACTATTCCGCATCCCGGATACGGCAGTGTCACGCCGTCTTGGGTTTGACTTGCTTGAAAGCAGAGAGTCACACCGGACCAGCAACGGGGACGTGCGATCGGCCCGAGTACTGCTCCTATGTGGGTCAGGTGTTCGGGCCAGGAGCAGCTAAAAATGGCTATATCATCCAAGTAGGCGCAGGCATACTCCTGAAACCCATCCAGTAGCCGATCTGCCATCCTCTGAAAGTTAGCCGGGGCATTCTTCATCCCGAATGGCATGACCTTAAACTGATACAGGCCAAACGAGGTGACAAATGCCGACTTGTGGATGGCGTCCTCGGCTAATGGAATTTGCCAGTACCCCTTGCACAGATCTATTGTGGTGAGGTACTGGCCTCTGGCCATTTTGTCTAGGAGCTCGTCTATCCGGGGCATAGGGTAGGCGTCTGAGGTTGTTTTATCGTTTAGCCTCCGGTAGTCTACACAGAAACGGGTTGTGCCATCCTGTTTCAGTACTAGTACTACCGGGGAGGCCCAGGGGCTGTCAGAGTGTTCTATCACCCCTAACTGCATCATTTCCTCAATTTCTTTCCGCATATTTTCTTTAACTGCTTCGGGTATGCGATAGGCGGTTTGGCGAAGGGGGGTCTGGTCTAGGGTTTCAACTTTGTGAGTGGTTAACGGACTGTACCCAGGTAGGTTGGAAAACGTGGCTCCCTTGTCCTGGATTAGTCTTTGGACCTGGGTTCGCGCCTGGGGGTCTAACCGTTCTCCTAACTGTACTTCTCCCAGGTCCTCTTGGTCTAGGAGATCTGGGAGTGGCAAATTATCATAATCTTCAGTGGCATGTGCACAGATCGCGGTTACCTCTTCCGTGCGCTCGTGGTATGGCTTGAGCATGTTCACATGGAGCATGCGCTTGCCTCCCGTGCCTGTGACCACCACACAAAGGTGGATCACAAACCTGCTCTACCACCTTGTATGGGCCCTGCCAGGAAGCCTGCAGCTTGTCCTTGTGGACAGTGTCAATCCATATCTGCCAAGTGACCCTATGTAGGGGGAACAGTCTCTATTCTGCTCTGTGTCAGTGTGTATCATGATCTCTGAGGATAGGTGTCAATCCATATCTGCCAAGTGACCCTATGTAGGGGGAACAGTCCCTATTCTGCTCTGTGTCAGTGTGTATCAGGGATCATTAGGATAGGTGTCAATCCATATCTGCCAAGTGACCCTATGTAGGGGGAACAGTCTCTATTCTGCTCTGTGTCAGTGTGTATCAGGGATCATTAGGATAGGTGTCAATCCATATCTGCCAAGTGACCCTATGAAGGGGGAACAGTCCCTATTCTGCTCTGTGTCAGTGTGTATCAGGGTTCCTTAGGACAGGTGTCAATCCATATCTGCCAAGTGACCCTATGTAGGGGGAACAGTCTCTATTCTTCTCTGTGTCAGTGTGTATCATGATCTCTGAGGACAGGTGATCTCTGAGGACAGGTGGGAGTGGCAAATTATCATAATCTTCAGTGGCATGTGCACAGATCGCGGTTACCTCTTCCGTGCGCTCGTGGTATGGCTTGAGCATGTTCACATGGAGCATGCGCTTGCCTCCCGTGCCTGTGACCACACCGATCACAAACCTGCTCTACCACCTTGTCTGGGCCCTGCCAGGAAGCCTGCAGCTTGTCCTTGTGGACAGTGTCAATCCATATCTGCCATGTGACCCTATGTAGGGGGAACAGTCTCTATTCTGCTCTGTGTCAGTGTGTATCATGATCTCTGAGGATAGGTGTCAATCCATATCTGCCAAGTGACCCAATGTAGGGGGGACAGTCTCTATTCTGCTCTGTGTCAGTGTGTATCATGGTCTCTGAGGACAGGTGTCAATCCATACCTGCCAAGTGACCCTATGTAGGGGGAACAGTCCCTATTCTGCTCTGTGTCAATATGTCATATGTCAGGTATCAATCCATATCCATTGTGATTTATGAATGTTATGTGATTTATGCCCTTTATGGATTAAGAGCAGACTCTATATCAACTGTGTAATTTTCCATGGGAGTTTTGCCATGGATCCCCCTCCGGCATGCCACAGTCCAGGTGTTAGTCCCCTTGAAACAACTTTTCCATCACTATTGTGGCCAGAAAGAGTCCCTGTGTGTTTTTAAATTCGCCTGCCCATTGAAGTCTATGGAGGTTCGCCGGTTCGCGAACATTTGCGGAAGTTCGCGTTCGCCATTCGCGAACCGAAAATTTCGGGTTTGCAACATCACTAAATAGCACACCGATCGGGAACAATCCGCACGTTTTGGTATATTACTGTCTATGTAGTGTAAAAACTGTGGGAGGAGTTAGGGTGGTAAATTTGGCTATAATAATAATAATATATATGTGAGATAATAGTAAGTGGTCTTGCCATGCAAGAACACTTAAAAAGCTGTAGTTGTTCTGCTGACTATAGCGTCCCTTTACTAAGGTAAGATAGAATAGTAAACAGAGGTGCATTACCAGACCTTATAGTGGCCAGGCTTAGCGCAAATCAGACTAGATGTAAATAAGCCAAGGTCAGGGAGACATAGAGCAAAATAATACAAAATAATAGAGTAGATAGGCCAAAGTTCAAGGACAATAGAGTGAAGATTGCTCAATATAAAAGCCATAGACAAAATTCAGACTTAAAATAGTGACTTGAAATAACACTTTCTTGGATCATCAATAAGGGAATATCACAACAGGGAACAGTGCTCTATCAGTAATGAGCCCCGAATGAAACATAGAATGGCAGATAAGAACCATTCGGCCCATCTAGTCTGCCCAAATGTCTTAATACTTTCATTATTCTGTTCATATCTAGGATAGCCTTATGCCTATCCCACACATGATTAAACTCCCTCACTGTGTTAACTACTACCACTTCAGCTGGAAGGCTATTCCATGCAGCCACTACCCTCTCAGTAAAGTAATACTTGCTGATTTTATTTTAAACTTTTGCCCCTCTAATTTAAGACTATGACCTCTAGGTGTGGTAGTTTTTCTTCTTTTAAATATACTCTCCTCCTTTACTGTGTTGATTCCATTTATATATTTAAATGTTTCTATTATTCAAATAGATTTCATAAACTACACTTCGAGATATTTGTATTTCAGCCTAAAATAAAAAATAAAACTGATTTGTCATTTTCTTTAATTCCTCTCTTGCATTTTAAACAATTTGCTTTCTAATATCTGTTTATAAAGGATTTTCAACTCACCTGTGTATAGCCATACACACCCAGTATCTGTGCTATTGGTACAGTGGTGGATGAAAAGTGATCGCCAATAACTCCTCCCAGCTTCCCACGTTCCACACAGGAATAATTAGGGACAGTCTTCCTTGGTCCAGATAAAAT